ATCTCTTCTCGTAATCAAGGCCTAGGCATAGTAAAGACCATGTCTAATGAGTGTAACTATGGCTCGCCGACTGTGGTCGTCTGCACTAGATGCCTGAGCCTTCTCGGGAGAAGGGACACAGAGACGCGACCAAGAGTCCCCTCACCACGTTAGCGCCGAAATCGCTTGGAAAGCTCCACAAATCCAAACAGGCAAGCAATAGTATCTTGAAATGCCGGTCATTTCCTAAATTAGGGTTTTATTCCATGTTTTCAAGATACTATTGCTTGCCTGTTTGGATTTGTGGAGCTTTCCAAGCGATTTCGGCGCTAACGTGGTGAGGGGACTCTTGGTCGCGTCTCTGTGTCCCTTCTCCCGAGAAGGCTCAGGCATCTAGTGCAGACGACCACAGTCGGCGAGCCATAGTTACACTCATTAGACATGGTCTTTACTATGCCTAGGCCTTGATTACGAGAAGAGATACGGAGACGCTGACAAAAGAACTCCTTCGTTTATGCCGTGGTTTTTCAGAATTGAATATTTCTCATGTATAGCACAGTCGCGAAAAAAAAACTTGGAACAAGACCACATCGCGCGCTTTTTAAAAGTTTTACATGCAGTTTTTAAATTGCACATGAAAATGCTTTGCTCAAATCAAGTACACCTTCTTAAAATGCTATTTTAAGAAATAAATGGTTCATTAAATTCGTTACCGGGACAAAATTTTGAAGATTATGCGATGCGGCATGCCGCTGCCACTCTGATATTGGACCGGTTTTCAAAGTTTCTAATGCTTTGGGAACAACATAGGTTTCTCGAGAGTTGTAAAAAAAGAAATGGAAGAAGGGAGCGAACACTCAGACAGGTGTGATCTTCTTCCGATGGATCGCAAAGCATTAGAAACTTTGAAAACCGGTCCAATATCAGAGTGGCAGCGGCATGCCGCATGGAAATAATCTTCAAAACTCTGTTTATTTTAATCTAATCAACGAACTCTCTTCTTGGAGTAGCATTTCAAGGTGTTCTTGATTTGAATAAACAAAGTTCTCATGTGCAATTCGTATATTATACATAAAACTATTAAGAGCGCGCGACTTGGACTTGTTCCAAGTTTTTTTTTCCGCGACTGTATATATTTCATGTTTTAGCGGAACTCAATAGATCATGAAATAAAGAAGCTGAGGCCTATTTTTGATAAACGGCTGGAGGAACAGAGACAACTGATTGAGCTCGTTGATCATCTCACATTCCGCCTTGGCATTGAGGACGACGACTCTTCAATTCCAAGAGATACTGACGTAAGTTTGTTCAGGATATACGCGGCTCGATTCGCATCCTTTTCTCTGCTTTTTCCCATCCATCAAAAGTGCCAACCCATCGACAGGCTCAATCTTGAGAGCGTAGGTGACAAGGGTAAGCGCTTCTGGCGCTGTGGGAGAGCCCTACACCGGTTAGCTTTGCACCCTGTGACAAGATCATGCTTGTATTCTCGTCGCATATGCTTTTCTAGGTCTCAGCTTCGGGGGTGGAGCGCACGCGTGGCTCTTATAGCATTGCTTTTCCGATTCGCCTTGTGTCTGTTATGCGTACTATTACAATGCATACGTACTGCTGCTGCGTACAAAACTTCTGCGTTTCGTCCAATATCATTGTTCTTTTCTGTGCTATTGTTGCCATACCATTAACAGTGCATTCATACTTTGCGGCAACGTTCCGAGCGTCTGTAAGCTTTCTGGGCCTTTCGGGCGACTATGAACGTACAAGTACAGGTCCAGCCTTTTGAGCGTCCACCAAATTTTCAGCGATTAGGGAAGTATGGGTGTCGATTACCGTTGAAAACACTGGTGGAACCTGTGCTCAAAACGCTGGATCGGAACCCAGACTTTCCTAGTTGGTCGAAGCGCTCAGTACGCAGCCACACAGTATGCACGCACTCTAATGGCTTCATCGTTACTACCTCTTCTTTTGATCCAGCAATTTCTAATTTTGTTAAAATTATTATTAGTCTTTTTCGTTTCCAGGAACTGATCCCGGAAGACAAAATGAAGGCTGTAGATGCCCGTCGAATAGAGCTGGAGGCTGTGCTCCACAAAAGGCTTAAGAAGGTCCAGAATTGGCAGAAGGAGATGAATAAATTTGTTGGGAAACTAGGTAGGAATGATTGCAGGTTGTTATTTCACTAACTTTGAGCGGCATTATTACTACGATTACAAAAGGTCCGATTTTCACTGAAACTTCCTCTACAGGGGTCATTGGGTGCACTAATGACGAGAGTCAAATGCATCTCTACCGCCGGCACTATCTCGGCCCATCGACTTCCTCGCCAAACTCGTAGTAGAATGAGATAATTTGGCATGGTGTTAAGGAATATAATATTCATTTTTGTGCCATTATCTTTGGCGTCAGATTCGCTGTAAATCATTTTTTGGTTATGGTTGAATTCCCGATCATGGAAATGTCATAGAATCCTCAGCTTTTGGCGCTCTGTTGGGGTTGAGCCTAAGGAGAAAAGGGAAGGGTGACGCCCTTCTTTGCACTCAGTCTTAGCAGAACACTGAAGACCCGAGTTCGTGACCTAGTCCAGGTTGCGTTCACTATCACCCCCCCCTTCTTCCCTTTGCGTAAGCACCAGCGATAGTGCGCCATGTTAACTAAGCCGATTTCTTCTAGTCCGCATTCTGCTACAGCTGACCCTGGGGATGGGGTCTTTTCACCCAGTCTTAGCAGAACTCGAAATGGCGCTGATAGCTAAGAATGAGTGTCCCTTTTGTTACCAGTTCGATCATTAGCAAAATAAAAGAGTAGCGAATTTAACTATAAGCGTAAACTGGCGTCGCCTTCAGAAGTAAGTGTCATATTCGGGATCAGAATGTTAACAACACAAGTGCGTGGATTTTCATCGACTTCGCTAATGAAAAAGAAGTGGGCTCAAAAAACAGATGTCGTCTCCAGGGTTCCATATAACCTTATAAGCGAACTCTCTACAACAAATCTTTTAGTTTTTGGGATCGAGATGTTTGATGTTCCCGAAAAAGTCGTGTTATCCCGAATTGGAAGAGAAAAGGTAGATATACAATAGTTGCTTTAGGTCGTGATACTATCACTGACGATGAAAACATACTTACCCTCATGGCCGTCGACTTTGCCAGCGAGGATACAAGTATTTCTGAATCAACGGTTAGCGCAATGGAAGGATACTACGAACAGGTAGTGTATTTCGCTGTACTTACTTTACTTACTTACTTTATTTCGCTGTACTTTACTTTTTTGCTGTACTCCGTCAACGATATGAAAACATTTCTACATGGATTTTGCAGTTACGTGAGATGTACACAGAATACGTCCAGGAAAGGGAGTTTCGTTGGTTAGAGCTGTACACTCGTCTTTCTGAGTTGTGGGATACTTGTCACGTGGCCGACATCGAGCGTCTGATACCGCCGTCTTACAATCCAGGTTTTCCCAGCGCTAAGCTATCCATGTTTTGGAGGTGAAACACTTTCTCTCCTGCAAGTCTTGATCAAATTGTTGCAGAGAAGCACACTGACAAAGATTTCGACAAGATTTCAACGGAGATTTCTCGTCTTGAGAGCCTTTATGCAGCACGAAAAGATGTATTTGACGTGTTGACGGCGTGAGTATGAGATTTTTGAAGTTTCAGAGATATGGGACGTGACGTATTCTAGTTCGCCGCGGACGAATGGACGTGTTAGGCGGGGAAGTTTGGCGCGGTGCCAGACACGTTTTCCACCTGCTGTTGGAGCGAGCAAGTGACAAGACAGTGTTATATCGTTATATCGCTCGCTTTCTCGCACACCCACCTCAACAGCTAGCAGAGCACCGGTTTGGCGCCGTGGCACACTCATACT